GGAGGGACAGGGACGGAGGGAGGGAGGGAGGGATCGTGGGACAGAGGTAGGGAGGGGGGGATCATGGAACGGAGGGATGGAGGGAGGGATCGTCAGATCGAGGGAGGGATGGAGTAATTGTCAGATCGAGGGAGGGAGGGAGCAATTGTCGGAGTGAGTGAGTGAGTGAGTGAGGGAGGGAGGGAGGGATCGTTGGAGGGAGGGAGGGAGGGACGGGAGGACGGACGGGCGAATGGGCGGATGGATGCATTAACTAATGGTCGTGTTTTTTCCTTCCTTGCTTTGTTGGGCCCTCTGTCGTATCACCTACTGTTTCGTGTTGTTGTTGTTGGGCCCTCTGTCGTATCACCTACTGTTTCGTGTTGTTGTTGGCTTCCTCTTCTCTTTTTTCACTTCCTTCTCCTGGATGTTTCCACCAGGCCGCATTAACACGATGCTGAGGTTAGGTACATGTTGCGATTTGCATGCTCAACCCCTGCTTTTTTTGAGAGGGTGCTTTGCTGTGGCTTCCACTAAGGCTTAAACTTGACGTGACAGTCCTTTGTCCAGTTGGTTCGAAGGTCTGATAACCCTGTTTTTCCCCCTTCTGTCTTTTGGTTTTCTTTTGACGTGAACCAGCTATGGTGGTGGATGGATATTTCTCAGAACTCTGTCAGAACAATTGCCCTTGTGCTTAGTATGATCACTCTCTTTGCCCCTGTCACATGCATAATAAAAAATTACTAAAATCTCCCCAGTATCAAGTATCACTCTCTGACATTCTAGGTTAGGTCCAGTTTTAACTTGAACCTGATTTGAGTGTCAAACTTGATTTGTGCCGAATCAGCACAGGTGTGGTGCTGCACAATTGGGAAATCGAACACCTAGTTGTAGATGGCTGAGTGAATGCGGCGATTGCGAGTGTCAGTGTCCATGAAGCCGACAGGTGGTCCTGATGGTCCATTCGGGTGTGTTTTTTGTGGGAGTTTGTTTGTGGAACTCACTTTTCTTCTAACTTTGCCACTTCATTCCCCTTGTTGCATGTAGAGGATAAGTTATGCCAAGACAAAGTCACATGCTGTGGAAAAGATAGAAGGGACGTATCAGCCAAAAGAGAAGAAAAGGAAGGCAGACGAAGGTACGTTGTGCAACTCTTGTCTCTGCCCTGCCCCTTCTGAATGTCTGTTTTCCTTTCTCTTTTTCTCTTTCTCTTCTCTCTTTCTCTCTCTAATGTGTGCACATGCACATGCATGCTAGTTAATGAGAATCCATGAGTAGTAAATGAAGCAACAGACAAAAGTGTGTTGCCTCCACCCGAAAATTACGCTCTGGCATTATATTCAACCTCCCCTAAAAAAGTCGAGATTTCAATTCTTTTTTGTACTTCATATCTGAGGACGAAGCTATGACTTTGTTGATGGGATATCTACTCTTCTTTTTTTTTTTGCTATCCTATTCTTGTATCGTTTACCTTACGAAACCTAATAAGTCAATAATATGATAACACATATCAACATTTATCTTGAATTACTACGACCTTCTTATTTTATGATATACTCACTATCTTGACAAATCGCTTTATATTGCATGCGTTTTAATTCATATTTAGCTACGAGCAATCTACAATTTTGATCTCTAATGACTTGATTTGACATATGGCTAAACTTCTTTCTGTAAAAACTCGCTCCGCAAAATGGAAGTTTCATTTTGGGTTTTAGCTGAAGTGACAAGAGTCACATGAGTCACATGAAACCCACAACGGTGTTCAAAATTTTCGAAATGATTTTGTATTTATGGGAATAAGCGTAACAAATTCATTTTAATGCTAGGCTGCCAGCTGTCCGATGGGGAGATGTTGCATACCGTATAGGTGCAGACCAGAACAAGAACCGACCTTTCAATACAAAGTATAAGATAGCACAGCGGAAGACTTAGATACCAATGATCCGAACAATCAATATTGCAATGCAGCCCCAAACATACATCATCATCATCATTCCATGGTGTGAAGGGGTCTGGCGCTTCACACAGGAAGACTGCGCCAGCCCCAACCATACACAGACGAAGGAGATGGGGGTTAGACGAAAAAGAGGGGAAGATGGGAATGTCGTCAACACCAAGTGTTCAGCACAGGCCCAAATAGTCCCTCGTCGAAATGTCTGAATCCCAAAGGTCGAGTCTGGATCCAATGTCGTCAAGTCTCAAGTCACAACTCTCTCTCTCTCTGTAGGAGTCTGCTGATACTGAGAAGTCAGGTGGTGAGAGGGGAAGAAGAGATGGTGGACATAGAGGAGGAAGAAGAAGAACTCTCTCTCTCTCTCTCT